AATATTAACAGGTGACAATGTCTCTGACTATCCCATCTGGGATAACTGTCGTGAATTTTTAATTACCTCAGTAAAAGTATGTGAGTATACTACGGCTGTGCTTTACTTATTAACTTACAAACAAAAAATCAACCAATAAACCAAGTGACTAATTAAATACAGCCACGGTTGAACTACCGCAGACTTAATGAAAACAAGGCAAATACAAAATGAGCAGAGATACATACCTATATATCTATAACGCGGCACGTCGCCGCGTCGACAAGAATTTAAATGAGGATACTCGCCGATCAATTCACACGTCAAATCTAATTTGGTACCAAATAACAATTAACAAAGTCATCATGCCTAACGACTGATGTGACAATCAAACGTTTTGCGCGCTGAGCGGCCTGTCACCGTGATTGATCGGAATGGGCGGGAATTTTGACGTTTGTTTTTTGCGCGGGAAAGCGTTCGAGCGTTCTGTATTTTTTTTTATTGTGTAGTTTTACGGCGCTGGAATATTCTTTTCAGGCAAACAATTTTTTTGTTTAAATAACTTTAATGCACGTTATACAAAAGTAAAAAGTACATATGGCGGACTCAACACCTAGAGGCACACACTTAGTTATATATTTTTTATGAATGATAATTGTATGTTGCACCCGCCTGCGCTAATGCTTTATCCTGCCGGGGCATCAGTGGAGAATAATGATGAGATCAGCTCAGTTAGCCCATCAGAATTTATCACGACGGTTTCCAAAGGGTACCGAGTAGAGGTAGTTCAGTAGTTTATGCATAAAAGAGTAACAAATATCCATCCATAATATTTAATAATATTAGCTATTATTATGTAATATTATATTATCTGTGCTATTATTAAGAATAAGACTATTACCACAGATAACATATTAGGTACATAAATACTATATTATCTGTGCTATTAGGTACTACGTATATACAGCTACTTTTGTTTTATAAGCTGTTTTGGTTAGTATAGGGTACAGATTAGGCAGTGAAATTACAGGATATGAGGCGATTTCTTAGTCTACTAGAATGGCAACACGTGAGCTGTATCACGGGTGTCATGATAACGTGATGTGCAATAATATTTATGCATTTTCGCATAAATATTTATATTTATAAATACATACAGAATTTAACAATAATAAAATTTTTGGACAATTTATACAACGCCATTTAGTCCCAAAGTAAGTAGAGCTTATATTATGAGTACTAGACAACTGATATAAACAATTTTTTTCTGTAAATACCTGTTATAAAAAACACTCAGCCAATACCAACAATCGTAGTCATGAATACAAATGTTTGTACTATGCGAGGAATCGAACCTGAGACCATCGAAAGTATATACCGCTAAACCACCGAGGTAGTCGTAATAAATAACATAACTATAATTTCTCAAAGAAGTGAATTACTTAACTGATAGATTATTTTCCTCAAACATAAATCAGATCCGCCATTATCGTACTATAGAAATGAGAATAATGGCGGTCGCCATTTATAAACCCCCTCGTACACTATCAGTGGAGTTCTCTTTTGTGGATATCATAACTTTTAGCTGCACATTAAGACATTATAGTTCTAAATGTGTACAACACTAGCTGACCCGCGCAACTTCGTCTGCAACATTTATCATTATATTTCGCCTAATTTGTATAATATCCTTATATTATTACTGTAAAGTTTCATTAAAATCCGTTCAGGAGTTTTTGCGTGAAAGAGTAACAAACATCCATTCTTACACACAAACGTTCGCGTTTATAATATTAATAAGATGTAGGTACATGTACAACATTTATTTGAAAAGAATACGAGCTGAGTTTCCTATCAGTTTTTCTCACCTTGTGAAAGCACTCCGAACTGACGGTAGATTTGACATATGTAAGCCTGTAATAGACCTACATGAGGAAAGATATTTTGATATGACATATTTATAATATACTATCTGTACGAGCTAGCATCGTACATTATTTCGCAACATTAACATTTTATTTTACATTTCATTTAAAATCAGTTCGCATTCGGTTATCAAGGACGCCGCGCGTACTCATTACAATCAATTTTAAGTTTCAATATACAGTTTTAATCGAGTTTCTATCAGTATCATTTATCAGTTTTACCTATCAGAATCTTTATAGTTTCGATACAACCCGAACACTAGCCCTTGAATGTGTCTGTATAAAGTTTCATCCCTCATTATTTATGGAGATTTTTTAGTTATTTATTTTACAAAGATAGGAAGGTGCTTACAGCCTGCCATGAGGAAGTGCGTTGGCGGCCTTTTTAAGAAAGAATAAGGTATTTCCTTGAAGGTGTCAATATAGTATCCGATACTTCTACAGTATTTTTTTAAATATACATATCAGGTTAGCAGTGCAATGTTTATGTAATTAGAATCATAATATTTTAATTGTTTGGAATGGCAACACTTAATAGGTTCCACGAGCGTAGCGATGAATTTTGTGATTTCTGTGCTTCTACCAATATTATATACATTTTGACACAACTTAGGTATAGACTTATGATAATGATGCCTATGACTATTTATTAATTAAGGTATCTTTAAAAGTAAAACGTAAAATAAATATTAACTAAGTATCAACGATTAACCAAGCCAATAAAAAGAAAAAAGACTGTACCGTCTCATAGCGCGGGAAATATAGACGTATGTTGACTATATTCTCTTGGCCGTATAAAAATCAAAAGCAGCAGTGAACTAACAAAATACCTATTGACTTTACAAGCATAAAATCCACAAATAAAACAAACTAAATAACCCATCAATCGAGCACAGCTGTCCAACCAACCTGACGCCATTTTTAGACACTGCAAAGGCGCGAAACCGTCTCTGCATTTCGCGCCTCATTGCAACTTTAGGACGCAATTTTCGGTTCCATTTTCAAAGAGACACTAAAATGTTGCCAGGGCAATAAAATATCTCAAGTGGAGCGTGGTGTTGCCAGTCGTTGCCATCGAAAACAAATTGGTTAATTGCTTTGTAGACTATAAATAATGTGGAGAGGAAGTGACGGTTTCTAATTAGGGATGCGTGTTGACATATTTGTATTGGCTAGTTATCTTGAAACTTTGTTATTTATAATTAAGGATTCAAGCATTATTAGACATCTATAGGTACCTACAGGTATAGATTAAAAGCGCCGTTTATACTGATTTACTCTGATTATGACACTGTTCATATTGATTTTGATTATTGCCGACTCCAGAAAATTTTGTAACTTTGTAGGTTATAATAATAATCACAGGACAATTCATACAGCGCCATCTATTCCCAATCCCAATCCCCAAACCTAAATCTTGTGTATGGTCACTAGATAACTGATACAAATACATAGATATTTTTTTCTTAAATACATACCTACATATTATACATAGAAAACACCCAGACCGATACAAACAATCATACTCATGAATACAAATGGTTGTGCCGTGTGAATCGAACCCGTGATCATTGGAAATAAGGCGCTGTGCTAAACCGCTAGACCACCCAGGCAGTCGTCAAAGTTATTTTATGTGCTCTCATTGTCTTTCCGATAATGGAAGCAATGACATCTAATCAAGTATAACTTCTCCCTCTAGGGGGGAAAGGGGATTGTCAGTAATGTGAACTGATGGTCTTATTGCTAGCAATGCACCATGTCAGGTCGAGTTCCACGCGGTTCCCCCTGGAAACCACAGTGAAAAATTCTTGGTGAATTTGTCACGATGGACTAAATAACCTGACCTCTTGTTCGGATGAAAGGGCGGATCCAACTTTGGCGCCAAGAGGGGGTCACACACTCTTGACCACGAGTGTGTGACCCCCTCTTGGCGCCAAAGTCAAGAACTTATAATTTAATTTTGATAACAATAGATACAAGTAAAAAGTAGGTATTTTAGTAATGTACTTAAGTACTGTACTTAAAAATATTAATAAAATCTGTATAGTGAAAAAATATATAAATAAAATCATTACGTTCATTTAGTGGTCCACCTTAGTCCTGAGCTCAAAGGGGGGGGGGGGGGTCGCGTCCCCCAAGGCCCCCCCTCCCCCTAGATCCGCCGTTGTGTTCATCTTATAACCATTGGTGCCCCGCCAGCGTAAACCGTTAGCGCAGGCGGGTGCACCACTGAATTGGATTGATGGACAAAAAGAAATCCATTATCATCCTTAAAAAAAAAACCTCTCCATCTGTATGTTATGTTTTTAATTATATTTTTGTATAATGTTATTACGGTGCGTTAAAGGTTGACGGGTTACCAGTGGAGGATGATAAGATGAGAATGCGATCAGTTAGCCCATTGTAACTGATTCATCAGGAATAAACCACGATTGGCTGCCATCTGTGGAGGTCGAATTGTTTTGATTAAAATATAGTTTCTATCATGAACTGACATCATTATTCGTTATCAATGCGATACGAAATCGCTCTAATAAAATATGGGGCAGTAGGTATCAGCACAGATCATAATTATAGGACAAAACAGAGCAATGAAATTTCTCTTTACATATTCAATTTCTTAATATTAATATTTGCTGATGTTGAAAGTGCTTTATTGTAAAGAACAGATTTGTAATTACTATAATTGTATTTATTATAATCAATAATTTAAATATAAGTGCTGACATCTGGTGTTAGATAGACAAACTGATTTATATATTCACTGATAATGCCATCTAGTGTCCAATAGTACTGATACAACTTTTACAAGGTCACATGTAAAAATGTAGCATAGATATTTGCGTACATACAAAGTTAATGAACGTTCGGAAACAGATCCATTACAGCTTTATCGTATCATAATTTAAATGGATAAGTAAAATATATTTTAACAATGTTTACAAATTTTTTGACATCAAGTAGTCCTAGCTAAACTACTATGTTTTTTTATTCCATATTCCCTATACTGTTTTATGGTTTGCATAAAATTCAAATTTAATGAAATAACCATCGATTATATCATATGTGGAGTTCATTCCTGAACGATAACAAAAAACAAAAACACGTCTGCTGTCAAAATTTGTAGTGTCATGTCGCACTATTATTTTTGTTCTTATCAGAACATATAAATTGCAAAAAAATAATAAAATAACAGGAAAAAGTTCGTAACTACACTAGTAAACTGTGATTTAGTTAGAACCAGGATGCATTGGTACGACGGGAGCATAGCCGAAGCGGTTAATTTATCGAAACAAAAAAATGCAATTTTCGTCGTTTTTATTGAAGGTTTGTGTTGATTTTCTTAATTATCGACTAATTGAGGCATTAAATTTAACTAATCTACATTACAGAGTGATTACAAACAATTCCGTAGCTTAAAATATTGTTAAAAATTACGTCATACTTAAGTTTAGTGCATACGTGCGCTCTGCTTATACTGTCCTCGTTTCAACGGATATCCTTTGTATACCAGCCAAGAATGCTCATAAAAATTGTAGTCAGACATTTATAGCATAATGGCAACAAGTGGTGTTGCTATTAAAGGCCTATAAAAGGTGGTAGGCTGGATAGGAGTATAAGTACCTGTCCCATTTTAGCACTCATATTATTTAATAATACAGGCTATTTATATTTGAAATTTATACACACTACAGGATAATGGCTAATCTACTGACATAGACACATCTAAACCACTTTACATAGTGGTTTTTTAAATTGATTGATAATATTTTTTTGTAATATAATAATGAATATATATAATAATGAATGCATGACTCTATTTTCCTCATTTAGCTGCACATTTGAGCTGTTGTATGATTATTGTAACTAATAAGCTATTTTTCATAGGCTTCTTGAGTCAAAGCCTTCAACCTGCAGGGTTATTTACAAATTTAGCTGCTTATTGGTAAAAATTATTAGGAAAATTAATCTTGCACAAAGTCTATGTCACACACAATTAGATTTAATTATATAATAATCAATTAGGGATCCTTAGTAGTTGAGCAGTTTCTGAAACTGTTCTAGTAATGAGTCAGATTTTTCAAAGTATATATATTAAGTTTATTTGAATAAAGATTACTTCGAATATAGATCTGACTATATTGTATGAATATGAATTATATATTTAGAAAAAAAAATACTCAAGTATTTCTATTTACTGATTTGCATATAAAGTATAGGCTGTTTAGTTTGGAACTAGAAGACACTCGTCTTATGTGAAGTGAATTGTCCAGAATTATCAATATTCTTGTTAATGATGATAGCTGCCAGAGAGCAAGCTATGCTATGGAAATCCTGATAAATAAAATGATAAAGACTTAGGTGACAAGAATTGTCATTTACAATTAAGAAATTTTGACTAATCTAATATGAATTTTGTTATTTACTAAATTAACTTTGTGAAAATAATTAACAGGAGACAATGAGCTGTCCACTGAGATGGCGGCCACCATTGATGATTCAGCGGTTGTGAAGCGGCTCGCCAACGAGACCAACTTCCTGGCCATCAAACTCAGGAGTGGAACAACTAATTACACACATTTTGCACAAATCTGTATCCTTTTAAAGATTGATTCATAAATATAATAACAAGCATATAAATATAATGAATAGAAATATCTCTTCCTGGGGGGACGGGGATAGCTAGCAATGTACACTAATAACTCTGTTGCAATGTACCATGCCAGGTAGAACTCCATGTGGTTGCTCCAGGAAATCATAGTGATAAATTCATGGTGAATTTACCAAATGAACTGACCTGACCTCATATTTATCTTATCATTCTCCACTGGTGCCCACCAACGTAAACTGTTAGCGCAAGCAGGTGCACCATTACATTATCATCCATAAAAATAGTACCCCATCCTTATATTAATGTTTCTTATTTATATTAACATGCATCTCCTTCTTCATTATATTCATATACTTCTCTATGTGTTAATATAATGAAGAACTTACCTTAGCTTAGTTTATCTATAGAGAATCACCATTGCTTCCACTGTATGAAAAGGTGATTCTCTATATATCTGTAAAACTAAGAGCCATAACAACTGTTTAATTCTGATCAAGCCTTAACTCTGGAATTAGACCAATTTGTGCCAGTACCATCACTGTTCTTCATCGGACGGAACGGAACGCCACTGGAGGTGGTATGCGCTGGAGTACAACCTAACAACTTGGCCACAAGGATTGACAGGATCTTAGAAGAACACTGTAAGCAAATATATTATTCTTTATTTGACCTTTTCTTTCAGAGTGTAGGTCCGAGGAGACCAAATAATAGAATTTCTGCATATTATGAATTTAATTTCATAATTTATAAGAAAGCACTAATATTTAGCAAGAAATATTTGTCGTGATTCGTTCTAGCTTTCAACACACTTGTTTATTCGTTTCTCTTCACTTATATATCCATTCTCTCGTCATTCACGTTTCAATTCACGCATACATAGTTCAGTTACCACTGTCATTCCGTTACACACCAATCCCACAAGGGTTTGCTATCTAGACATCTCGTTAGGAACAAGAATTGAAGGATAATCTTAAAAGCGATGCTTTTGTCCCCTTTTGAACCCCTTACAACCCTTTTTTCGCATTAAAATATCCTTCCGAGTCTAGACTATCTGTACGCCAAATTTCATTTAATTCGGTTCAGTAATTTTGATGTGAAACAGATGCGAGACAGACAGACAGAGTTACTTTCGCATTTATAATATTAGTAAGGATTGTACTTGTTTCTTTTTTTTTATAATTTATACTCTGTTGTAAAATGTGTTTGTTTGTCTTTTGATATAAAAGTAATCTATCTATCTATAAATTTCTAGATAAAGAAAAGCCATCATCTGTACAACCATCAACTTCATCTAACAATGTAAAGGAGCAAACAGTGAATCTGTTGCAATCTGAAGCGGCTGCTACCCAACCCGCCACTGAACCTGCAGTACCTTCACGCGCTGAACAACCGGCGAGACCTCCTGTTCAAGAAGCGGGTATGTTTTTTTAAATCTTATATATAAAATTCTCGTGTCACAGTTTTCGTTCCCATACTCCTCCGAAACGGCTTGACCGATTCTCATGAAATTTTGTGAGAGTATTGAGTAGGTCTGGGATTCGGCCAACATCTATTTTTCATCCCCCTAAATGTTAGGGGTAGTCCACCACTAAATTTTTTTTTTATATTAAGGCAAAACTACGTTTGCATGGACAGCTAGTTTAAATATATAAAAATGGCGAATGGGATTAATAACCCCATTGCTAGCAATGTAGTATGATATTTTAGGTGATTAGGTGATTTCCTCTTATTAATAGTTTAAACAGTTGTTGTGTATTCAATATTTTTTTTATTTAATTGAATTAGTGCTAATTGGTGGTTTGTATTCACACACTTAAACTTAAATTGTAAAGTAAGAATAAAATTATTTAAAAGAGCAACACATAAGTTTCTTGCTCGTTCTTCTTGTGATGAGACAGATTTCCGAATGAGTGGTAGATTAAAAAAAATGTGATGACTATTCAAAAGTGTACTTCAATGTAAGTTTATTTGAATAAATGATTTTCTATTCTATTCTATTCTAGGAACAGCAAGTTTTCAATTAAGTGTATGTAAATAAATAGAAATAGAAATAATTTTTATTCCAATAAACTCAATACAAGCACTTTTGAATAGTATTTTTTTTTACTCTACCACTCATTCGGAACGTAGACTCGTCACAAGAAGTTCGTGTGTTGCTCTTTTGAATAAATGTTAATTTAAATAAATAGTTACACAATAACAAGTGAGAGGCATGCAATCAACATAGAACGCTACACACTAATATAGCTTTTTTGAAACCAATCCGTAGAGTCCTCATCACCTCCAGCTGCGAAGGTCCAGAAAACGGAGCACCACGTGAGCCAGCCAGAGCAGGAGTACGAGGTGGTGTGCGACGGGGACGTCTGCGTGCGGAGGCCTAAGGTCAAGGTGGAGGAGCCCGGACCTAGTCAGAGGTCGAACATAGCTATATCTGAACCTGTGAGTGATGATATTATTAATAGCTGTGCCAGCGATTTTATCCGTGTGAAATTTATAGCCTATATATAGCTTTTAGCCGCTGCTTCGCTCGCATAACTTCATTACTGGCTGGCGCTGAAGTAGCAAAATTATATTTTTTTGTTTTTTATATAAAATATTTGTTTCTTTTAATAAAAATCCTATGTTCATTGTAATACCTCCAAGAATATGTACAACATTTCATGATGACCATGATGTTCAGTAGATTTTGCATGAAAGCCTAACAAACATCTCTACTTTTATATTTATAATATTAGTAAGGATATCTTATTCTGATGTATAAACTATATTACTGTAAAGTTTCATCAAAATCCGTTCAGTAATTTTTGCGTGAAATAATAATAAACATCCATCCATACTCATAAACTTTCGCGTTTATAATATTAAAAAGTTACTGATAGCCTTGGTGGTCTAGCGTTAGCACACCGCCTTACTTCGGATGGTGCGGGGTTCGATTCCTCGAACAAGCAAACACTTGTATTCATGAGTATGATTTTTTGTATCGGTAAATATAGACTAACATAATATACAAAGATATATTAGTCTATGATTAACAATAACATAATATAGACAATAAATAAATATTAATTTTTATCATACCTTTCATTTTAAAGATGGAGACTGGTGTGGAAGCTGCTAACAGCAGTGCAAGCATGGAAGATAAGCTGGACAAAGCTAAACAGCTGATAGAAGTCAGACGGAGGGAGAAGGCCGCAAAAGAAAAAGAGGTATATAGTTTTTGTTCTACAGCTGATTCCTTGACCACTATATTTTTATGTAAATGGAATGATACACAGAGGTAGACTGTAAAAAAACACCGGCGTGTGTACCTCAGTCTCAACTATTTCAGCCGCCAAGCAGCTTGCTTTGTAAGCTATGTATTGGTTGTAGGGTAAAAGCCGATTTATATATGTAGACAATATATTTACAATAACATACATATACTACATATGGGATGAGAACAAAAGAAAAATTGATATAATTCCTGTATCTTTGATATGCTTTCTTTGATCTTGTATGTTTATTCTTATAAATGTAAATGTAAGACTCCATTCTCCGCAATCAGCCTCTGATCTGGGCCGTTGTATGTGTAGAGCCGAGGCTACTAAAGTAGCCAGCCAAGCTCCTTCCAAAAGCGCAGAAGTCTTGGTCACAAGAAGAATGGGCAACATTCTTCTTGTGACGAGACAGCCTTTCGAATGAGTAGATTTAAAAAAGTATGACTATTTAAAAGTGATTAAATATAAGTTTATTTGAATTAATTTTCTATTCTATATCTCTTTTTTTACAGTTGGAGAAACAGAAGGAGCTGGAACGCCGCAACTTGGGACAGGGCGTGGCTGAGCTGAAGAGGTGGCAGGCTGACCAGGAGCTTAAGCAGATTCAGGTATACCTATGGTCTGGTGTTGTAACCGTCCTAAGGCTGTAGTCATTTGTAATTAGTATTTTAGCTTTGTAGTATATGGTAGTTTTTTTTTCGGTTTCTGTTAGCTCACTGTGTTGATTTATTTTTCATTACATAGTATAAAATAAAGTCGCTGTCGCTGTCGGTCCGTCCTTATGTATGTTTAAATCTTTAAAACTACGCAATGGATTTTGAAGCGGTATTGTTTTAATAGATAGAGGGATTCAAGAGGAAGCTTTATGTATATAATACGCCGGGGCCAGTAGCTAGTATGTTATAAAAATGGAAAACAAGTTTACAGTTCATCTGATAGTAAATGGTTACCATAGTCTATGGACACCTGAACCAGCAGGGGGGTCTCGTGCGCGTTACAGACCCTTAACAAACCGTAATGTACCCTTCTTGAAAAATCCCATTGTGTAATGTAGTAAAACCTTGGCTGATAGTTCATTCCACGTTCAGTGCCCGCGGGAGGAACTTCATCTAAAACCACACCGTCCGAGAACATGTGGACATGAATTCCCTGTCGATGATAGACCTATAAATACCCTAAAAAATCCAGGAGGAGCGTAAACGTGAGAAGATGGAGAACAACCTCGCCCGGCAGCGCATCCTCGAGCAGATCGCGCAGGACCGCGCCGAGAGACGCGCCAGAGATGCGCCCCCAGCATCCGCTCCCACACCCGCCGCCAATGTACAGGCACCTAGTAAGTTTTTCTAGATTCTTCTTCTTTTGCCTGGTCTTAGTCCCATTTATTTGGGATCGGTCCGTCTGGGGTTATTAGGTCCACAACAGGAACAAGTGAAGTTCGAAAATTAACACTATATGTTTTTATAATTTTTAGACTATCAGAAGTATAGTTTAACTTTTTCTGCTTAAATAAACTTAATTTGACACAATTCAAGAGAAAACACGATCGCACTACTCCCTTCGCACCACGTGCGTACTGAAGCTGCAAGTCGTGTAACAGGTGGAATACAAACAACCTTCACCTGTTATGACCGTCCTGCAGCGGTTGTGACCACCCCTTACCGGATGTGACCGTCCTTCACTGGTTGTGACCGTCGTTCACTGATTGTGACTGTCCTTTACCTGTTGTAACCGTCCTTCACCTGTTATGACCGTCCTGCAGCGGTTGTGACCACTCCTTACCGGATGTGACCGTCCTTCACTGGTTGTGACCGTCGTTCACTGATTGTGACTGTCCTTTACCTGTTGTAACCGTCCTTCACCTGTTATGACCGTCCTGCAGCGGTTGTGACCACTCCTTACCGGATGTGACCACTCCTTACCGGATGTGACCGTCCTTCACTGGTTGTGACCGTCGTTCACTGATTGTGATTGTCCTTTACCTGTTGTAACCATCCTTCACCTGTTATGACCGTCCTTCAGTGGTTGTGACCGTCGTTCACTGATTGTGATTGTTCTTTACCTGTTGTAACCGTCCTTCACCTGTTATGACCGTCCTTCAGTGGTTGTGACCGTCGTTCACTGATTGTGATTGTTCTTTACCTGTTGTAACCGTCCTTCATCTGTTATGACCGTCCTTCAGTGGTTGTGACCGTCGTTCACTGATTGTGATTGTCCTTTACCTGTTGTAACCGTCCTTCACCTCTTATGACCGTCCTTCACTGATTGTGACCGTCGTTCACTGATTGTGATTGTCCTTTACCTGTTGTAACCGTCCTTCACCTCTTATGACCGTCCTTCACTGATTGTGACCGTCGTTCACTGATTGTGATTGTCCTTTACCTGTTGTAACCGTCCTTCACCTCTTATGACCGTCCTTCACTGGTTGTGACCGTCGTTCACTGATTGTGACTGTCCTTTACCTGTTGTAACCGTCCTTCACCTGTTATGACCGTCCTGCAGCGGTTGTGACCACTCCTTACCGGATGTGACCGTCCTTCACTGGTTGTGACCGTCGTTCACTGATTGTGATTGTCCTTTACCTGTTGTAACCATCCTTCACCTGTTATGACCGTCCTTCAGTGGTTGTGACCGTCGTTCACTGATTGTGATTGTTCTTTACCTGTTGTAACCGTCCTTCACCTGTTATGACCGTCCTTCAGTGGTTGTGACCGTCGTTCACTGATTGTGATTGTTCTTTACCTGTTGTAACCGTCCTTCATCTGTTATGACCGTCCTTCAGTGGTTGTGACCGTCGTTCACTGATTGTGATTGTCCTTTACCTGTTGTAACCGTCCTTCACCTCTTATGACCGTCCTTCACTGATTGTGACCGTCGTTCACTGATTGTGATTGTCCTTTACCTGTTGTAACCGTCCTTCACCTCTTATGACCGTCCTTCACTGATTGTGACCGTCGTTCACTGATTGTGATTGTCCTTTACCTGTTGTAACCGTCCTTCACCTCTTATGACCGTCCTTCACTGGTTGTGACCGTCGTTCACTGATTGTGACTGTCCTTTACCTGTTGTAACCGTCCTTCACCTGTTATGACCGTCCTGCAGCGGTTGTGACCACTCCTTACCGGATGTGACCGTCCTTCACTGGTTGTGACCGTCGTTCACTGATTGTGATTGTCCTTTACCTGTTGTAACCATCCTTCACCTGTTATGACCGTCCTTCAGTGGTTGTGACCGTCGTTCACTGATTGTGATTGTTCTTTACCTGTTGTAACCGTCCTTCACCTGTTATGACCGTCCTTCAGTGGTTGTGACCGTCGTTCACTGATTGTGATTGTTCTTTACCTGTTGTAACCGTCCTTCATCTGTTATGACCGTCCTTCAGTGGTTGTGACCGTCGTTCACTGATTGTGATTGTCCTTTACCTGTTGTAACCGTCCTTCACCTCTTATGACCGTCCTTCACTGATTGTGACCGTCGTTCACTGATTGTGATTGTCCTTTACCTGTTGTAACCGTCCTTCACCTCTTATGACCGTCCTTCACTGATTGTGACCGTCGTTCACTGATTGTGATTGTCCTTTACCTGTTGTAACCGTCCTTCACCTCTTATGACCGTCCTTCACTGATTGTGACCGTCGTTCACTGATTGTGATTGTCCTTTACCTGTTGTAACCGTCCTTCACCTGTTATGACCGTCCTTCAGTGGTTGTGACCATCGTTCACTGATTGTGCTTGTCCTTTACCTGTTGTAACCGTCCTTCACCTGTTATGACCGTCCTTCACGGGTTGTGACCGTCCTTCATCGATTCAGACCGTCCTTCACTATTTGTGACCATTGTTCACCGGTGTGATTGCAGCAGGGGATGTTGGTAGAGGCGCCCGTCTGCAGTTCAAGTTACCGGACGGCAGTTCGCACACGGCGCAGTTCGATGCTGACGATGCTCTTTCTCAAGTTCACCAGTACATCGCTGATAATCTTCAGGTATTTTTTTAATTTAATTACAATTGCTAACATTGACTGTTGATCTATTTTATGGATCCTCGGCTATATATGACAATAGCAATAGAAGATCACTGGTCAATTCACACAGCGCCACCTACACCCAATTTAAGTTAGTTAAAGCTTGTATTATGGAAATTAGATTACTGATACAAATACATAGGTATATTTTTTTTCTTAAACACCCAGACCGATACAAACAATCATACTCATGAATACAAATATTTGTGTCGTGCGTGGAATCGAACCCCAGCGCCATCTAATTCGAATCAAAAATTCTACTCGTTTGTGTATAGTGCCACAATCAAAGTAGCGACCATTGTCTTTAGGCGTGTGCTAAACCCGAGGTCGTCAAATTTATATATAAGCTGTACTCGCGACTTCGTCCGCGTGGAATTTAACTTTATTTTTCTAAAATAAAGGTAGCCTAAGTTACTCCTTATTACATCAGCTACTTGCCAATGAAAGTCCCGTCAAAATCGGTCCAGCCATTTCAGAGATAGAGGAACAACAGACAGACAGACAAAAATTGTAAAAAAAAATAATTTGGTGTATCTACCGTAATTATATTCATATGCATGTAGTAAAAAACGGTTATTTCAGTATTACAAACAGACACTCCAATTTTATTTATATGTATATATCTATACATATAAATATATAATAAATTTGAATGTTACAGATGAGTCGTTCGTCGTTCTCGTTGTGGATCGCATTTCCCCGGCGGGAGTTGACGGAGAGTGCAGCGAGCCTGCGGGCGCTGCAGCTGGCTCCCTCCGCCGCGCTGCTGGTGCTCCCGCGGCGGCCCGCGCCCGCGGTGGCCCGGCCTTCGCCCTTCGCCACACTCATCAGTGAGTACATTCTTTATTTCAAGTCAAATCAAAAGTCATTTATTCATGTAGACAGACATTTTAGCCGCTTATGAACGTAATTTTTTTTGTTTTATTTATTTGTATAGTTTTAATAAATAATCTTGTTGGGAGGTGTGCAGTTCTCACTGAAATAGTCTATTTTTTTCTACGTGCAACTAAACGGCTTGACCGATTTTTATGAAATTTTATATGCATATTCAGTAGGTCTGAGAATCGGCTAGTATCTGTTTTTCATACCCCTAAGTGATAAGGGTTGTCAACCCCTAACATTTTTTTTATTGTTTTATTTTCATTTTTTTATAATGTGACATTAAAAATACATACAAATCTAAACTTTCACCCTTCTATCACTATCTCCTATTTTTTAATAGCTATTTTAGTTTATATGACAATTATATATATCTTTTTCCTAAGTTTCATATATTATATTTCTTCTCTCCCCAGCATTCTTCACCCAATTCTTCACATCATTCATTCTGGAGCCTACGCAGCAGTTTTACACGTGGCTGCGCGTGCGTCTGTTCCCTCCCCCACCCCGCGCCGCCTCCCCCCCGGAGCCCCGGAGACCATCTCCCCCACCCGGCGTCAGGAGAAGGGGGAACATCCACCGACTGCCAGGAGACAGGTCTGCAGACGACGACAACAACACGTGGAACGGGAACTCCACGCAGCAGATGTAATGGCCTAGTGGGTGGGAAGACTGAGTGCGAGTTCGATGATTGGAGAAAGCAGGATATAGATGTTGTAATTGAATCATTAGTAATAGTTAGTGAAATATATTAATGTTGCATATTATCTGGATCACAGTGTTGCCACAATGCTGACGTCATATTAAATCAAATATCTTTATTCTTGTAGGTATTATAAACTCTTGTGATATGTCAAATCTACCTTCAGTTCAGATTCTTTCGAGCTAAGAACTGACAAGAAACTCAGCTCTTATTAAACAAATCAATCAAATAAAATATCTTTATTCATGTAGGTCTATTACAGACTTACGATATGTCAAATCTATAGTCAGTTCGGAATGATTTCTAAATGAGAACTGACAAGAAACTCAGCTTTTATTCTTTTCAAGCTGAGCTTGTACATGATTACAAAAATATATTATTATAATTAAACATTTCTTTAATTTTTATTTAAAATGGTTGAATGGTAGGTCTCCTATCAGTTTTGATATTCTATTATATATTGTAATGGTGAAATTAGATGCAGTTTACCACCCTATAATATCGAAAATTTGTTGAAAATTTATTATATTTATACAATTTAATGTAGTAATGTTAGTAATTTTGCCTCGCGGAATATTATATTACTATTGGGGTGATTATTAATATTATTAATTATTAATAAATAATTTTATGGTAAATTACTCCAGTAAACCTTCTGTCTTTTCTCCTCTACCCAAAGGTTGTCTGGAAGAGATCGCATAAGCGATAAGACCGCCTTTTGTACCCATAATCTAAATATTGTTTTCGTTTTTATATATGTTTTTTTTTTGTTATTATGGTGCAATAAAGAGTAATAAATAAAAAAATAAAAATAAACTCGAGTACCTAGTCGAAACATCGAAAGTGGTAAATTACTTTATTTACTATAAAATTATTTGTGTTAAAACCCATTTAACTATATTAATAAAGTTAAAAAACGCGAAAGTTTAAAAATTATGTGCGATGTTTCTTCATACTGTTTTTTTTAATGCAATTTAAAATTAAGTTACAAGATTTTCTTTGTTTTTTTCGCTTGTTCGCTCTTTCGTCGGTCTTTCGTCTCTGTCACACAATATGTTCGGATACCTTGCACAATAATATGATGGATATTCAATTAAAGTGTCCCCTAACGTCATTTTCAGTCATTCTCGTTCGATATGTCTTTAAAATCTCGTACATTTACACTCAAGTGTTAATAATGTACAATTTAAAGTAAATAAATTTATAAATTATTAATGATAATCATTAGTTTTTTTGTTCTCATAAATTATGACATATTCGTCACCATCTGCTTCTTCCTTATCCCATTTATTTGTGGTCGTCGTAATATGTTTTTCTCTTCCATTCATCCCTGTTCGCAGTCATCTCGTTATTTATTGTTAAATTATAACATCTTTATATATAAAAATTACGTGTCACGTTGTTTATCCGCGATGCACTCCTAAACTACTGAACCGATTGCAAATTTGATTTGCACTTTGTGTGCAATTTGATCCAACTTGAAAGATAGGATAGCTTACATCTCAATTTATAGTCGCAATATTATTTTATTCAAGAACATTAGCCACAGCAACGCACGGCCGGGTCTGATAGTACATATATATATAATATTATTGTTACACTACCCTACTTTGTAAAATATTACTTTGATGTTCCAATGAAGAAATATTACATTACTAACATTTACCTGCGGCTTGGTTCGCATTGAATCCATTATATATTATTCATTGCTGGCTGCCAGATGGTGCTGAAGTAGCAAAATGTTGATATTGTATTTTTTTTGTAAAATGCTTTTAAATAAAAAGTATCCTATGTTCATTCTAATACGTCGAAGAATATGTGTACATATGTGTGTGTTTCATGATAGTCCCTTTAGTAAGTTATCAGTTTGTGCGTATAGCATAACAAAAATCCCTACTTTCACATTTTTAATATTATTAAGGATTCTTACACTACCCTACTTTGTTAAATATTGTTTTAATTTTCCAATAAAGAATGACTATATTACTATTATTACAAAAAGCATAGACGTCATTTCAGACTGTTTTTTTTTATGTAATTTTGAGGCATGGGCGTAGCCAGGGACTACTATCGCAAGCAGTCTAAAATATCATCATCATCATCAGCCCAGTTCAGTCCACTGCTGGACGTAGGCCTCTACCAAGGCACGCCACTGGGCAAAAAAAACTAAAATATTAAGTAACCAGCAAACTATACCCGCGGTATTACCCCGATTGTTTTTCATACAAACCTGTAGCACCCTGTATTTGTATGTTATTTTGTGTGTCGACTGTTGAGTCTTTCTTACGGATATTAAGTATCGTAGTTAGTATTTGGATAGTTTATTTTTTGGTTTGGTTAGGTACCTAATGCCCAATTTACACTCAGCCCTAGTGGGTAGGGAAGTGAGCAGCGCGAGAGTAAACACGAGTGGAAACACTTCCCATGCTATTGACGCTGCCACTCCCGCTGCCCGACGCTCCCTCGATTGTCGGTTTTTCGTGTGCGAGTCAAAGGACTGGCAGCGCGAGTGGCAGCGTGTTTTTACATTCAGCCCTCTCGCTCAGTTGTCGCCCGGCAGCGCGAGTGGCAGGGGAAGCGGCTGAATGTAAACGTAGCATTACAGGTCAGAATCAGTCTCATCGTGACTACTCCTATGTTATTTTTTTTATTTAATTTTTTTTTTTTTTTTATATTTGTTAGGCCCATATTATGTCAGTCTATAAGGTATGTACGCTATAGACTACCATACATATGAAGTAACAGGAGGGCGATAGTACTGCTCGTAGATAGCGTCCCAGAAACGCATTCGTTCCTCCAACAGTATCCCCTTCAATTCTAGCTCTCTCCCTAATTCCATAAATGGAGAACCATTAGCGCTCGCAGAAGGCCACGCTGGGAATGATGATCCCTCTGGCACTGGATTTCTGTATAAAATTAAGATATTAAATTTGTCTGTATGGTCACGGCACTGACGATGGCAATCTGCCACGGTACCGCCGATACACCACACTCTTCGGCCAGTAGTCCTTCTTCATATAGATGAGCAGCATGTTGGTAGGGACCCGGGCTACAAACTACTTGAAACTCGCGTTGTGGATCGACTCCAGCTGCGTCACCCTCAATGTCAGGTTACTTTTGGTCCGGATATAGTCGACAATGTCCTGCTCCTTGTGACGTAGATAAGGCGGGACAGGTACATAGCCGTGGTCCGTGTAGCAGCACAGTGTTTTTTTTTTTGTATATGTTAATGAAATGGTGCACCCGCCTGCGCTAACGGTTTACGCTGGCGGGGCACCAGTGGAGGATGATAAGATGAGAATGAGGTCAGGTCAGTTAGCCCATCGTGATAAATTCATCTGGAATTTATCACAATGGTTTCCAGGGGGAACCGCGTGGAGGTCAACCTGACATGGTACATTGCTAGCAATGGGGTCGAGAGTCCACATTACTAACAATCCCTTTCCCCCCAGCAGCACAGTGTTATAAGTCGTAATGTAAGGTCGTGGGTTCAATTCCTCGCACGGTACTAACATTTGTATTTATGAGTATGATTGTTTGTATCGGTCTGGTTGTTTTCAATGTATGTTATGTATTACAAAAATATATAGAGGTATTTATGTCAGTTGTTTAGTATTTATAACACTGTCCATCTGATGGTAAACGGTTACCGTCGCCTATGGACGTCTGAAACAATTGAGGTGTCACGTCTGCGTTGTCGACCCTAAATCTATACTCTATACATATAAATAAAATTGGAGTGTCTGTTTGTAATATTGAAATAACCGTTTTTTACTACATCCATATGAATATAAATACGGTACATACACTAAAATAACATTTCTTTAAATTTTTGTCTGTTTGTACCGGCTCACCTCTGAAATGGCTGGACCGATTTTGATGGGACTTTTTTTGGCAGGTAGCTGATGTAATGAGGAGTAACTTAGGCTACCTTTATTTTAGAAAAATAAAGTAAAAGTTCCACGCGGACGAAGTCGCGTGTACAGCTAGTATAATATATATTGTGATATATAAATATACTTAATATAAGTGTGGCTTTATACATGTATAACCTCTTACGGGATATGTATTGTATAAGTATTGCCTATTAAAACTTTTGAATGTATTGAATAATATAACCAAGATTCTCAAAATTCTCAACTGAGAATATTAAAACATAGTTGAGAATTTTCAAACATTTCAACATAATTATAATAAATAATGTTGTTCACGTAATCAGTCATTTGCAATTTATTATAAAATCAATATCATATTATTTAGGATTGGTGTTGCCAGCTGTTTAAAAACGACAAAAACATGTATTTATTTACAAAAGAAAATTAAATATTTATATCAGTTGTCTAGTACCCATAATGCATGCTCTGCTTAGCTTGGGACTAGACGCTGTATGTCTTGTGTAGTATATGTGTATTTATTATTGTCACATTTTCTCAGCTTTTGTTGTTATTTTTTACCAATTTTTTTTTGTTTTATGGATGACAATGGAATGATGTACCCGCCTGCTCTAACGGTTTACGCTGGCGGGGCACCAGTGGAGGATGATAAGATGACATGAAGTCAGATCAGTTAGTCCATCGTGGCAAATTCACTATGAATTCATCACGATGATTTCCAGGAGGAACCGCGTGGAGGTCGACCTAACATGGTACATTGCTAGCAATGGGGATTACAAATTCCCATTACTAACAACCCCCTTCCCTCTATTTATTATTATTATTATATACTTTGATAAATACCTACGGTACATTGAATTTTATGTCCGAAATATGGCAAGTACTTTGAAAGACTTGGCAATGCTAGTTCTAACTAAATTCAGTAGTCTAGTTATAAATTAAATCAACATTGTAAAATATTAGATAATAAATTTGTTATTGGAATATCGTTGTCTTTTTTTTCTAGAGTTTTTTTAAAGGATCTATTTAGAGATTAGAGAAATAAGGGAGAGAAATACGAGCAGTGAAGGTGAGTGTTCACGTACGAGACGTAAATTAATAATATTACTAGCAGTCCCGGCCACGCGTTGCTGTGGCTAAGGTTGTTGAATAAAATAATATTGCGACTATAAATTGAGATGTAAGCTATCCTATCTTTCAAGTTGGATCAAATTGCACACAATGTGCAAATCAAATTTGCAATCGGTTCAGTAGTTTAGGAGTCCATCGCGGACAAACAACGTACGTACGATAAGTAATCTATACATAGAAATAAAATTCGAGTGTCTGTAATCTTGGAATAACCGTTTTATTACTACATGCATATAAATATAAATACGGTATATACCCCAAAATAACCTTTTTTACAATTTTTGTCTATCTGTCTGTTTGTTTGTTCCGGCTAATCTTTGAAATGGCTGGATTGATTTTGACGGGACTTT